AGGACCTGTCATTAGACTTATGGCTCACCTGAGTAATCCAGAATGATCTCATCTTGAAATCCTGAAGTTAATTGCAACTGCAGAGATCTTTTTCCCCAAATAAGGGCACATTTACAGGGGGATAGAACATAGACATATCTTTTGGAGACCACTATCAACTCTCCTCAGATGTGAATTATGGAAATGGTACGACATGGTTGCTGGCTTCAAGAAGATTGTGATGGGGTTGAGGAGATAAGGCATACTGTTCAGAGACTGTTCTACAGGGTTCACTTACATTTCTCCATTCTTGAAAGCAAGGCACTGACTGTTCTTTGTTATCTTTACAAGGATAATTATATAGCAAACAGCCTTGGAAGAGAGAGATGGTGTCCCTCTTCAGACACATTTACTTCCCATTATTAAAAATTTGATTCACCTCGCCTTGAGCACTGTTGATGGGAATGTAAATGGTGCAGCCGCTATGGAAAATATTATGGCAATTCCTAAAAATATTAAAAATATAATTATCACATGACCAGCAATGTCACTTCTATATACCCAAAATAATTGAAAGCAGGGTTACAGACATATATTTATACAACTATGTTCATGGCAGAATCCTATATAATAAAGATGTAATATGTAACATAACGACTGATCATGGATCAGCAGGAGGGTGGGGCAGTGAGCTACAAGCAGGCAGCAGAGAGCTACAGAAGGGGGCAGGGCAGCAAGCTATGGGTGGGAGCAGGAAGGAGGAGGACGAAGTGGGGGGAGCTACAGGAGGGTGTGGCAGCGGGCTGAGAGCTACTGGAAGGTGGCATTAAGCTACTGGTGCACAGATTTGTGTGCAGAGCTACTAGTTATTCATAACTGCCAAGAGGTGGAAGCAACCCAAGTGCCCATTGATGGATGAATGGATAAACAAAATGCAGTATTTACATACAAAAGAATCATATTATTCAACCTTAAAAGGGAAGAAAATTCTGACACATGCTACAACATACATGAACCTTGAGGACACTCTGCTAGGGGAAATAAGCCAGTCACAGAAGGACAAATACTCTATGATTAAATTTATATAAAGTTCTTAGAGTAGTCAAAATTAATAGGGCCAGAAAGTAGAACGGTGGTTCTTGGGGCTAGGGGGAAGGGAAAATAGGAATTGTTTATCCATATAGTTTCAGTTTTTCTTTTTTTAAAAATCTTTTTATTTTTAAATATATTTTTATTTATTTCAGAGAGGAAGGGGAAAGGAGAAAGAAACACCAATGATGAGAAAGAATCACCAATTGGCCACATCCTGTACACCTCACATGGGGGATCGAACCCACAACGCAGGCATATGCCCTTGACTGGAATCAAACCAGGGACCCTTCAGTCCACAGGCTGAAGCTCTAGCCACTGAGCCATGCTGGCCACACTAGTTTCAGTTTTTCAAGATGAAAAAACTGTAAAGATTGGTTACATAACAACATGAATATACTTAACACTACTGAATTACAGACTTAGAAATGGTTGAGATGGTAAATTTTATGTGTATTTTACTGTCACTTTTTAGAAAGCAAAAAAATATTACAGTCTAAATAAAAGAAGATCAATTATACAACTATGGTCCTATATCTGTAACAGCAGATGAGTCAGGTAGATAAGAAATTCCCAAGGGAATTTTAGCACACTGATAGCTACTCTAAAGTAGTACTCTTTTTCCCTAAATAAATCTTGGATCTAAGAGTCTGAAAGATGCCACTTGGTTCCAATCCCCCAAACTTTGGAAGTAAACCAAGAAAAGAAGCAAATATTTTAGAAGCATAGTGAGTTTCTATACATGACAATAGGATTTAGGGTTATCTCCAGGTCACCTGCAAACTTTGTCCTCCTTCAAATTATTAATAATTACAAACATTTACTACTATATTATATTAGAGGCCTGGTGCACAAATTCATGCATGGGTGGGATCCAGCCAGTCCGCCCTGATCAGGGCTGATTGGAGCTGGCAAGGAGGATGGGATGCGGGAGGTTGGCCAGCCAGGGGGAGGGGCTGAGAGAGGTTGGCTGGCTGCCCCTGCCCCTGATTGGGCCAGCTGACTGGACACAGTGAGTGTCATAGCACTGGATGTTCTAGTCATTCCAGTCGTTCTGGTCACTTGGCTTTCATATATATAGACTAGAGGCCTGGTGCACATATTCGTGCACCAATAGAGTCCCTCGGCCTGGCCTGCACCTTCTCATACTCTGGGATCCCTTGGGGGATGTTTTGGCCTGATTCCCACAGGCCCGATTCAGAAAGGAGGGAGCCTGATCTTGTCCCCTGGTGGTCAGTGTGCATCATAAAGACCAGTCGACTGGTCATTCAGTCATTTGGTCAGTGGGTTGCTTAGGCTTTTATACATATTCTAGAGGCCCATTGCATGAAGAGATTCATGCAATAGGCCTTCCTTCCCTTGGCTTCCAGCACCGGTTTTCCTCTGGCACATGGAACCCAGGCCTTCGCTCCGACCAGAGTCTGCCACCTTTGCTGCAAACTCCAGCCAGAGTCTGCCTTCTTCATCTTCACTGCCGATTCAGGCCAGAGCCCGCTGTCTTCATCTTCATTGCAGACTCCAGTAGGAGTTTGACATCTTCATCTTTGCTGCAGACTCTGGAGTCTGCAGTCTTCATCTTTGCTGTAGCCAGAGTGCCGCTCCTGTAGATCCCTTCACCCTCCCACTCTCCCTCTCATAGCAGGTGTCCTGCCCTGCCCAGCCACTTGGAGCCTGGAGCAGCTGGGTGGCCACCATCTTTGTCCTTCTGTTTTGCATATTCTCTCCTGATTGGCTGGTGGGTGTAGCAGAGTGATGACTAATTTGCATGTTTCTCTTTTATTAGTGTAGATATAGATAATACCTCAATCCTGTATGGAACAGACATCTGGAACAACTCTTTTCCATTCCAGGGAACAGATGTCCTCTCTCGTTGTTTTCCAGTGTTTAATTGGTTTTTGATGCTTTCATTTTATTTCTCTGAGATTATTTTTCTTATTGTTTTTGAGATATCCTTAGTCAAAGTTTCTTAAAAATTCAAATTAATATGTGTCGGCTATGTGTCCTTTGCTTTGTATTTTAGAAAATCTTTTATATTAAGAGAGAGAGGAAGAGGAAGAGAGAAAGAAAAGTATTGATGTTAGCAAAACACCTATCTACTACCTCCTCCTATCTCCCCTACTGGAAATTGAGCCTGAAACCCAGGCATGTGCCCTGACTAGAAATTGAATGGGCAACATTTGTGTGCACAGGACAATGCCCAACCAACTGAGCCACACCAGCCAGGGTTGCATTTTAGATATCTTTTAGAGACCCCTTCAGGTAGGCCATAGTGACTGACCTAATAGACTCAGTCAGGATCCTACTGGCTACTCAACCAGGTTACCGTTAACCCAACTCTTTATGTTTACTGGAATAAGCTGCAGGAAATTCAGTGATCTATATTTGTCTTTATTCTAAAGTTTGAAGCCAGAGGCCACATGCAACTTTCTACCTCATAAATAGTTGCAATTGTGAAAAGCAGTATTGTATTACTTCAGGTTTTGGCCCCATTTTGCACTTCCTATGTTCAGAACCTCAACTGGCTTACCATCAGTCAGTCATAAAAAGCTGATGGTCTTTGAAATTGCTCTGTAATTTTTGTCGTTAGCTACTTCTATTGCATTGCACTTTAAGGGCATAGCGTCCCTTGTTGGGGGAAACGTCACAAAATGTTCCTGAAAAAAAAAAAAAGTCAAGTGATTTTTAAAAGTCTGATTTCCCTCATGGCGTAGTTTTTGATAATTATCTTTCCATTGCCTCTGTAAAACATTCTGAGACCTTGAACACCACTCAATACTGGAAAGCAAAGGAAGGGCTGCCTTGTACAGATGGCAACAACAAATAGGAATCTGAACTTCACTTGCCTCTTATGTGGCAATTCATGGAGTACCTGTTTTTCCTCCTCCATTTACGGGAAGACATCGTTTTAACCTAAAGTGCCACGGATTTTTGCTTGGAGGTCTAGGTCATGACCTTCACTTGGGGAAGCCCCAGTGGGCTGCTTGAAACTGCCCAATCCCCTAGACTAATCCCTCAGCGTCTGGACAGCATCCCCATTTCCCCCCAACAGGGTTGTTGTGGTCTGAGCCAACTGTCTTCGTCCAGCGAAAACAGGGGCCGCTCCAGAGCTTTTCTGTCAAGAGTTTAAGGATTTCGAGCCTGATTGGAACAGGTGGAAAGGCTGGAAGCCCAGTTTTGACTTTTTGATTTGCTTCTGTATTGGAAATTTAGCTATAGATATATGGAATTTTTAAAAAGTGTGCATGGGGGGGGGGACAATGGAAAGATATGTACACATATAATACCTTAATAATAATAATAATAATAATAATAATATTAAAAAACTGTGTATGGTGGGTGGTGCATGGGCAATGCTTCTGGAAATCTCATGGCATGCCCGCTCCTGAGTCAAAAATCTCTGCAGTGGTTCAAAGCGCTCGCCAACATGTATCGATGTGAAATCGCGTGGCCTGGGATCCAGAAAAATGAAGACTCGCAGGATTTGACATCTGCAGGTTGCGGCATTCAAAGACCAACAGGGGGCTGAGGTGCAGGGCTGGCTTGGGTTCCAGGGCTTGTCCCTGGCGCCCCGCCTCTGATTCTCATCTCACAGCCCGCCGATCTCCCCGACACCGCCCCCGCGATACCCGCCCTTCCTCCCCCCCCCCCCCGCCCTTCCTCCCCCCCCCCACTCCCCCCCCCTGCCCGGGGTCGGCCCAGAGCTGCGCGCGAACCCCAGTCCCGCCTCCGGTGCGGTGGGCGGGGCGGGGCGGGCCGGGCGGTGGGCGGGGCTTGGCCGGGCGGGGCGAGGCGGCGCGCGCTGGGCTCGGGCTCGGGCTCCGGCGGGAGGCGGGCGGCACTAGAGGGAGCTGCTCGCGCCGCCGCGGTCGCCGCGCTGGCCCCCACGCTCGCTCGCGGCCCCTGGCGCCGCCTCCGCAGCCCGCGCCGCCGCGATGGCGGAGGACAGCGAGTCTGCAGCCAGCCAGCAGAGCCTGGAGCTGGACGACCAGGACACTTGCGGCATAGACGGGGACAATGAGGAGGAGGCCGAGCACGCCAAAGGGTAGGCGTGCGGGGGCCTCGGGCTCCGCTCGGCGGACGCGGGGCTTGGGACGCGGGCGGCGCCGCTTCGCTCAGAAGGGGCGGGGGTCCCCGCGTGGGTGCGCCCGGCCCGAGGCCGCGGTGAGGGCGGGTCGCGCGGCCGGCGGCGCCGGGGCACGGGGGAGGCGAGGCCCGCGGTGGGCGGGGAGGCCGGGGCCCGGCGCGGGGAGCGGCGACGCCGCTGTCACCTGCCACGCGGCCCCCGGACCTCGCGCGTTCCCGCCGCCGGCCCGGCCCGGCCCGGGGTGTGTGTGTGTGTGTGTGTGTGTGTGTGTGTGTGTGTGTGTGTGACCGTGTGACCGAGGGAGGCGCGGCCCCGTCCCTCTATGGCGGTCCGGTTGCCGGAGTCGTCGTCGTTCTCTCTTCGCCCCGGATCCTCTCCCGAAGCCCCTCCAGACCCTCCTCCCCTCCTCCAGCCGCCGCCGCCGGAATAAAAGGGGAGCTGCCGGCGGCGAGTGGTGCGGACCGGCCCCGCTCCCCCGGCAGAAAGTTGTGTTTCCCCCGAAGCTCTCTCCCCGCGCCCCGCCGGGCGGGGGGCACCGTGGGTCCCGGCCTGGCGCCCGCAGACCTGGCTGCTCAGCTCCCCGGAGCAGGTCTCTCCCCGGAACTGGGGTCGGTCTTGGGGTCGGTTCTCCTCAAACCCAGCTTGTGGGCAGGCTCGGTGCGTTTTCACACCTGCTCGGGTTTCTCCTGCCTCTTCACAGGGTCCCTTTCCTCCTCCCACAGACTCGCTTTGCTCTCCGTGGGAGAGAGGATTGCTTCCGGTGGAAGTTCTCTTTTTAGCGGCGGGGGATCATTTTAAATAAAGACTGGCGTCCTTACAGGGGGTGTTTGCACTACCCTTTTCCCCTGCTGGATTCAAACTATGCGCAGGCACGGAGGAACTCTTTCATGCTGCCCCTTATAAGATTTTGTCAACTGGTGACCGATGAAGAAGTGGGTCAGCTTAAAACCATGATATGGGAGCCCGTAGTCGCAGATGGCTTATTTATTCAGTGCGTGCAAAGGATTCTTTAAATGATTGGTGATGTAAAGTGTAAAGCATTTGCATTCTATTTAACGTCTGCTTGAAGATTTATTTAAGACAGGAACTTTCACTGAGCTTTAATGTGTTCTAAATTAATAAAAGAGATCAAGAAAAGGAAAAGCTGACTAGCTATATATCCCATTTGCGGGTTGCTTTTTTTAAAAACTTATTATATTTGCAGTGAATACTTCAGTGGCAGCTGCAAGTACCCTATGCTATAATTCAAGTCTAGAATGCTTTTTTAAAAGGGGGGAAAGGAAATTCTACAGATATCTGAGACTGAGTTTTGTTTACACAGTGATAGAAATTTGCCCATGATAGATATCTTAGCATACATATGTTTTTGAAACAACAGCAATGGCCAGAAATGGGCCCACATGCAAATGTGGTATTAGATTGTCCCAAAACTTCAGCACCTGTCCATTACTTTCTGGATTAAACCTAGGACTTTACCTTCTCCCCTATAATTTCTGCTTATTATTCTTTTCCTTTGAAAGTTTGTTGTCTACCTCGTTGCTTATTACACAGCCAAAAATATCATCTTGGTGCCTGGTGATGGGGGCCTGTCCCTAGCAGCCTTGCTCCAGGCTCTGTGAAGTTCCCAAATTAGCACCCAAAATCATCTCCATGCCCTCTTCAGTTTTTAGTTTTGTACATTAGCTCATTAAATATATGTCAGCATGCTGACTCAGAATGTAGGAACGCCCAGTGGACTGAAACGTTTTAACCCAGCGCAGATAATATAGCTCCTAGTGGGAAAGATTGATATCATGGGTATATAGTTTATTAAGATGATAAAGAGATTAATAAAAATCCAAGTTGCTGAGCTTGTTGGGCTGTTTTTTTTTTTTTTTTAAATTTAGATAATATCTGCCAAATTTCGGGGGGGGGGGTAATTATGGGTTTTTTTTTGGTTTATGCATTGATAGTATGACTCAATAGAAACTTAGGTGGTTTTTTTTTTTAAGTAGCTCATGTTTATAAATATAAACATTTGAGACTTGCTTTTTCTATTCTTGGCTTCTTTATTCTCCACCAATTTAGATTAAGTGACAAATAAAGAGCCTTTGGAGAAATGAATAAGTTTTATCTCTAGGTATAGGTCAGTACACAAAGCGGTGATTTACTAATCAGTATTCTTGTCGCCTGAAACAAGTAATTTACCCCCACAATTGAATATAATATATTTACTAGTTGTTTCAGACATATTAAGTTAAAACTAGAGACTCAGATAAAAAGGAAATTATCACATTAGATTATTTTGTTCCCAATAAATATATTACTGTATATGCTTTTCCTTTCATTGTCATAGGATTTTCTTTATGAATTAAAAAGATTATTTTATTTTGGGGGTAATGGTGGAGTTCAGGAATGAAATATGATTTATGTTCAATTAAAAGCAATGATTTGTGTATTTTACTTTCATCTTACTCTTTTTATATCTTACTTTTCATGAAAAAAATGTGTTTGTTTATCTTTGTTTATCTTTTTATATCTTACTTTTCATGAAAAAATGTGTTTTTGGCTCATCAAAGTACAAAAGGGGCATATCACTATAAAAATTCTACAAAATTCTAAAAATCATGGACAAAGGGATTGCTCATTTTAAATAGACTATCTATAGCTGAACAAGTATAGTTTTATTATTTTCAAATAATATGCAGCAATTAAAACTAGACTAACAGAAGGGTAACTAGAATAACTCTAAGTAACTTGCTTTAACAAATAATTTACAACTAGGGGAAGTAAATAGGTCTTTGTAAAGGTCATGATGAACTTGAAAACTCTCAAGCAAATTAAAAGTTCTAAGGTAATCTTGTTTAAAATACTGTTATTTCCTTAGCAAGGGCTTTCTGTAGGTAAAAACTAACTTCCGTTATCTTCTTTATCCTTGCATTATTGGTATGCGTCTTCTCCATTTGTCAAATGCATTGGGCCATGGTCATTCTCTCTTATTCAGCCTACCATCCCAAGAATTACATGGTGTGTATGTAATTCTGTGATTAAACATAGTTATTGCCCAGTGTTGGGACAGGGTCACAGTGGCTCCAAATAAAAATTAGCATTTAAGTTGGCAACAAAGCCAAAACTCTCTCCTTGCTTTACCAACACTGACTTTGAGAATGTACGTTTCCAGACACATTGATGTTTTTGATCTTTTTTCCATGCACAGAGCTTCTCAATATTCACAATGCAGTAGGCAACCAATCGATGTGTTTCCCTCACATCAGTGTGTCTCTCTGTCTTTCCCTCTCTCTTCCATTCTGTCTAAAAAGCAATGGAAAAAACATCTTCGGGTGAGGATTAAAACAAAAAACAGTAAAGCAAATTCAGGGTCTGGGTACATGCCCTGACCAGAATCAAACCTGGGATCCTTCAGTACGAAAGCTGAGGGACACTATCCACTGAGCCAAATGGGCAGCTTTACTGTTTTTATTGCTTACCTCTGTTCCTTGTAAACCACACCCCTCTTTTTTGAGGACTTTTTCTCATTTTTTTTATTAGAATGTGTAGATGATTTATTTTCTGAATTCTTGTATGTTTAAAGATGCCTTTCTTTTGCTCTCACGAATTACATGATGTGTATGTAATTCTGTGATAATAATTTTCCTTCAATCTCCATAAACATTGTTCTGTTATTTTCTAGCCTTTCGTAGCACAGATGTTTCTCTGCCAATCTGCTTCTCTTTCTTATATAGGAAACCTTATTCTTTTTCTTTGTTTTGATTTGTGTTTAAGTCTAGCAGCCTCTAGTATTTTCTCTCTTTCTACAACCCAAGGGTTTCCATACCCTTTTACCTTCTAGAATTGCTCTTTTCCTTAATAAGTAAACAAAATGGCTCGGGGTCATACATATTGGTGGGGATTTCTTGGGGACTGAGGTTTTCTTGGTCCTCTAGCACATCCATGCTCTTGCTAGGTCCCCCATCACTAGCTCCATGTTTTGGGCCCTTTTAGTATTTCTCCTTAGACATTACCCTGTCTAAATATAGTTAGCTCTCTTTCACTCCCTCCCCAAGAATTACTAATATAAGCTACTTGCTTTTGCACATCATTTACTGATGGTTTTGTAAATGAGGGGGAAGGTTTGATTATAGCATAGGCAGGAAACAACTTCACATTCATCATCAGACATCATTGTCCACTAAAGGGAATTTATTACTGCCCCCGATGGACCATCTTTTCCTGCAGTGTTCTGGGAAGTCCTCTCTCCCTCTGAGAGCAGTCTCTTAATTGTCCAAAATTAATTAACTACCTCCACTGCTCTTTTCTCAAAAAAAAAAAAAAAAAAAAAAAAAAAAAAAAAAAAAACCAAAAAAAAACTTGAAGTGATCTGCTGTGCAGTACATTGTTACTTCTGTGCATTGTTGAGATTGTGAGAAATTCTTCTCCACCTCTTTTCCAAATTCAGGGTCCAGCTCCACTGTCCTTTCTTTTATGAAAACTCTCATAGTCATTATAACCCAAGATCCTCTCGCCTTTACTGAATGTATCCTTCCCCAGTCAAGTTCCCTTGCCCCTGTCTCCCCAGTCATCTTCTAAGGCAGATCATTGTCTTGCTGCAAACTAATCTGTGACTCATAGAGATAAGTGATTTGTCTAGGGTCACATGGTTGGTAAGTGGGCAACAGAGTTTTTTTGTGATTGTTATTTAATGTGTATGTGTAACATCATCTACAAATGGACTCAAATTAAATATTTTATTTTATATTTTAATTTTTTGGGGGGGAGGACTTTAATCCCTCACTTGGAGATTTTTCCCCCCATTGATTTTAGAGATAGGGGAAGAAAAAGGGGAAGAGAGAAACATTGATGTGAGAGAGACCCAGGTACATGCCCTTGACCAGGAATCAAACCCTAGACCCTTTGGTGTTCGGGCCGATTATTGAACCACTGAGTCACATCGACCAGGGCAAGGTGTTTTATTTTAAACT